AAGGCTTTAATAATGAACATTTCAAATCAGTACATATTCACAGAATACACAAAGATATTCAGAAAAAATTGCCTCTTTTTTAATGGTATAAATGTCAGAATTATAGTTATTTTTACTATGCATAAAAATTAATTTTATGTATAGATCTATTTCTATGTTTTCACTTCTATTCCATTATATTTTACATGTCTTCATTGTTTCCCAACTCCTGATTACTGGTGCGTTATAATAACCTTTGATGGCTAGTAAGTAAAGAACCACTCTATTTTACACTCTTTTTCTTAAATTACTGTGAGGAATAGGTGTTCTTTATTTCCACAGCTACATGAATGGTAAAAACTTCAAAATTATTCATAAAATATTGGGCTGGTGATATGACTCATTTGGGATGCCTCTCAGTCATGCAGAAATAATTTATGGTGGCAGCAAACTCTATTCCATTTACTTCAAAATTAGAGGCAGGAGGATCAAGAGTTTAAGGTCCTATAGTGAGTTCTGGGTTCAGCTAGCTTACAAGGCATACTTAGTCAAAGCAAACACATAATACAAAAAATAAAAATATCAACAGTATATGACAAGCAGGAAGTGACCCCCTCCAGTTTTACAGTTCTTGTACAAGCCTCTGATATTGAGACCCTTAGATGTTTCAGTTCTTGTGTGGGCCAAGGAAGTACAGAATGTTCAGCCTTTCTCTGTGGTTAGACTTGCAGCTTCAAGGCAGGCTTGGATATTGGAATGTCTCATTCCTTAGCAGCAGAAAATAATAGGTATTATGTAGGCCTAGGAAGTAGGGGAATTTTTTAGCCATTAACACAAGCCAGCATTAGAGCTCTTAGCCTAAGACTGGAAGCACCTATTAACTAAAGACGCAACTGCTGTATAGAACTTTCTGGTGTCCAGGGACAGTTGTTTCTTCTGTATGACATTTTAAAAGTCTCTCTTCATCTTCAGGCTCAGGTTTATTCCCTTTCCTGTTGCATCCCTTATTCTGCTCTTCTTTCTGTCCTAACAACTCTTGAACTGTTCAGCTATTTATTTCCTGTAGCTATGTAGACAGATGCCTTGCTTTGTTCACATTTCAATCTTTTGATATTTTAGCTGCCACTGTTGCCTCTTCTGGCACTATCCTTCCTCTGAGGTTTATCCCTGGGTTACTATCTTATCTCATATTATGAAGAGGAGGCAAGAATATAGCATTTGAGAAGGATGGAGAAAGGGTTCAGTAGTTAATAACACTTACTGTCCTAATAAATGACCCAGGTTTGATTTACACTAACCACGTAGTGGATTACCACAATTTACAAATCAAGTTCTAGCAAATCCAACACATTATCTGACCTCTACATACACAAAACAATCACATAGTACACATACATACACGCAGGAAAAAAATTTATATATAATAGTAACTATATAGTTTTATATATATATACATATATGTATATATGTATATATACATACATATATATGTATATACATACATAAATATATATATGTATATACATACATATATATATAACTATATAGTTACTATTATATATATATATATGATATTTTATGTTTGGTCAGGTGTTACAAACCAGAAAATGCAGTAACCTATGAATTTCTGCTTAGTTATTCATTAAGCCTAAGTGCTTCCTCTTATAGAACCAGTCACAGACATAGAGGCTTATATTTTAGACCAGTCACACCCTTGCCACTTACCACCAATCATTCATCAAAGATTATGTTTTGAACAAACCAGAACATTGACTCTTACAACCAACCATAGTAATTGAAGATTTTATTTTAAAACCAATAACAGAATAGTCTTCTTCTTAACAGAAACCAGAGTCATTTAAACTTGTGTTTTGTCCAATCACAGTCTTGGACCAATCAGAATCCATGGGTCTTATGTTCCCTACCAATC